ACGAAATATGAAAATCAAAACTCTCTTAGCCATGTTTTCTAGCATTCTGGGACATATTTGAGTAACACTTTTTTGGCAGACATTGATGTTAAAAATAGTTCAAAATATATTTCTTTTCTGTCACAATTCACAAAGTAAAAATGGTCTGACAGCCAGCAGGTTTGTGCTGACAACTGGCTTCTAATGATATGATAACCCTGAAACACGAATACCAAGAGTGACTAGCTCCTAAATTCTGCATGTAATATTATGCCTGAATCACACATTAAGGTCACGGGAATTTAGTACATTATCACCAACTATACAGGCTCAGGATTGTTTAATACATTCTCCTTGTCAGCACCTTAGGAATTGCCTGAAGAATGATATGGAGAATGTACATACTGATGTTAAGGTGTTAGTGGATAATAAATCTTACCTTAAATGTTAGCAAGATAACGATCAATTTCAAAATACTGGGACAGCGCAAAATTTTGCCCAATGTTTTATACCCATCAACTACTCCTTCCACAGACTCTTCTCCATGGAGCTCTTGTTCTGACTTTTCCCGTTTCAGCAACCCAACTAGTGTTGTGGTGATTAAAAAAACAATTCCCCAGAAGTAAAAAAATCCTGAAAAGGTGACAACTCCATCTGATGATGGTTGTGATCGAAGATATCTGTTACTGAAGTCAGCAGAGCTAAGAGCTAAGAATACAACATTCCCCATAAAGAATCCTGCTGTTTGGCCAACTGTGTTGCAAGTTGACGCCCAGCCAACATTTTCCCTGGACAACATTGTCAGTGCCCAACCATCCACGGCAATATCTTGAGTTGCAGCAAGGAAATTCAAACAAAAGAAAATCCCTGTTAAAAAGATGATACTTGGCCCTTCTTCACTACTTTCACCCAACAGTTCATTTATGTGCTGAAAAAAGCAAATATTGAAGTTTTTGTGGGCAAATAGTATAAGAGAGAAGGTATATTTTAAACTTGGTATTATGAAATAAAGAAAGATGTTAGAGAGGTTCCACTACAACTCCATACTATACTAAAACAAAGCTGTACTCCTAAGGGGAATGTATTGTTTATGCCACAGTTTATTTCATTCACGAACTGTATGCATAATGATGTATGAAGGTTGATGGAAATCTTGCCCAGATGTTTTTCGTTTTGAAATGAACATGAGACAAGTAAAAAACTCTGGTTCCCCATGAGGAACTGAACCTGTAATCTGAGCAACAGAAAACTCTGTGGTGAGCCAGGTTATAGATTTCTAGGTTCATATGTGACATTCATCCTTAATAATGCTAGAATCAGCAAATTAGTAAATCTCAAATTCGGTGATAAGAAAGAGAAAGACAAATTCCTTGAACACAGCAAGACACCATCCCCAGGATTGGACGAGGAGATCTTCTGGTTTCATTCCAAATTTAATTATCTTTAAGAAGAACAATCAACAAGCAAAGTTTGAAACAAATTTCTGTACAGGTTGTATCATCAGCAGAATGACTAGGCATTTAATTAATAAGTACCTGCATGAACGCGCGTCCAATCATAAGAAACTTACCTTTGAAAGTACGAGCATAAAAATTCCTAACAAATATTGCACAGGAACAAGCCATGATTTCCTTCGGCCAAATCGCGAAAAGTAAAGAGTGTCTACGATAGGCGCCCACAACAACTTCATGCTAAAAGGCCAAAATACGAAACTAAACGTTGCCTGATCTTTGTACGCGACTTTTCGTGTTTGAAGCAACATCGGCATAGCGCCGGCCAGCCCTAGAGGGATTCCTTGAAGAACATACAGAAACGTAAGAACGGCTATATTCCCTCTGTCTCCCTTAAGGCTTGCCTGATGAGTTTTCATGTTTTTCTCGCCAGCTGTCTTTTTCTCCACACCGTTTGTCGTTGAGCGAAAGTCTACATGGCTGTTGTTTCGTTCAAGTTCTTCCTCGTTTGTTGAAGAACTAACGCTTCTTTTGGCAGCATCAGCGGATCGAGATCTGGTCATCATATTTGAAGTCTCTCATGTAGTTGGTTTAGCAATATCCCTTATTGAACTGTTCTTATCTGTATTTAGAAATTATCATATGTACAAAAGAAACTTTGAAGCACCAGTAACCAAACGTGGCGAGTCCACAGACGAAGATGAAACTAAGTGTGTCATAAATGAGGAACGTGACAAATGGAAAGGTATCCGCTGTACTTCAGATCATTATCGTGCTCAGTCTCTCCAGGAAGTTTTCTCAGCTGAAAAGCTTGAGGCGAATAAGGAAATTTCGGAGTCCGTGGATAACAGGTGAGCTAGTCTGAAACACTCGTTACCAAGGATTTGCATCTTTGTCGAAAGTAGTGGCTGATAAAAAGGACACTCGTTATTAAGGTAAGTAAGTAAGGTTTGTGTCCAAAAAGTCTGAAATCTTCCTTTCCCCAAATTCTTTTCCTTTTGCAGATTTCGATGAACTGTTTTATCTCTTTTTTCTTTTTTTTGAAAATGTGCGTGACAACGATCTTTTCTCATGTTTTCCTTTGAAATTTTCCGTGGGAAATTGGGACGCGACCGGCCAAAATTGATCTTCGTGCGCAATCACATTAACTATAGGACGCATGGCTAGTGCCAGTCTTTATGCGCGTGCCTCAAGCGCACGCTTCACACGCTGTGTGACGTCATAAATAACTATACCATATGAGAGAAGTGTGAGGGAAGATGCAAACGAGACGCCATTTCGACTCAGACTCCCCTTCTGACAATATCAGCAAGTTCAAAGTGGTTGTTTTGGGTGATCAAGGTGTGGGAAAGTCAGCCTTGGTGTGGAAGTTCGTTTACAAAGGATACGAAGACAAATATCTGCCAACCATTGGAATAGATTTTTTCACGAAGACATGCTATCTAGGTGAATAGATTTTAATAGTGTAAATATTAATTTTGATTTGAGTACTTCCAAGGGCTGAACGTAATAAATTTTCTGTAAAAGTGGATTCATTTACATGATAAGCTAGGAGCGGCCCTCTGTAGTCCAAAGTAAGCATATTATTTTCGTAAGGACAGAAGCTTGTTTCATGCGATATTTTCGTTGCAGATTTAAGACCGCTACTTTCGAACAGGAGAGTGGGTTGCGTAGGAGGAGAGGGGGAGGGGAGTTGTTAATTTTGTGACGCTCGCTTCTTTATTAACTGTATTGGTTCCAACACTAAAAGAATTCCCATTAGAAACAAACTCTTCAACCTTCTGCTTTATTTCAATAATGAAGACGAACCGGGCGAGGGAAGGAAAGGCCAGCACTAATTTTTTTTGCCCAGATGTGTATACAGCCGAAAAAACACACTTGTCAAATATCTGCGCACGTGCAAACTTTGAAATGTAATGTATATGCTTCCTGTCTCTAGGAAGTCAGAACCTATTCATCTCACCAGAATTTTAAACAGCCACACAAGACAGTAGCTCTCGGTATATGTCAAAAGCATACAATAGCAAGTTTTTGTAATATCTTGGCTAGAAAATAACATTTTGGGAACCTTGAACCATTACAATGGTAAAAGTTATTTCTCGAAATTTCAGATGGAATTGCTGTCCGTCTGCAAATTTGGGATACCGCTGGCCAAGAGCGTTTTCGTTGTCTCATACCTTCTTATCTCCGTGACTGTCATGTGATCTTGGTCTGTTTTGATGTGACGAATTGCGGCTCATTGGACAATGTGCCCGATTGGATCGAGCTGGCACTGAAAGAAAAATGTGGTCAAACAAAGGATTCGTTGATTGTTCTGGTGGGAAATAAAGTGGATGACAAAACTAATCGGCAGGTGGGTTCTATTCAAAATTTTACCACGATTTTGCATTAGAGGAGGAATTGAGCATGAGATTTCACGTAGAAAGGCGATGGATTGATAGTAATAATAATAATAATAATAATACTAATAATAACAAAAATAGTGATGATGATAATAATATCAATAGCACAATAGAGTTTTTGTTTGCGGTCATAATTGTGTTTTAGGCTAAATTTTTAATGCTAAGTTTAAATGATTCTGAAAAAGAGCCCAAAAAATATTTGTGGCTAAGGACGTAAATCGTATTGCAAGTATTATCACTTTGAAAGGCATAGAGGAACAAAAATTAAAAAAAAAAAAAGAGAAAGCCAAAAAACTAGTCTCGAGAATCACGCAAGCGTGCGAGTGTATGGCCCGCCAAAATCTCCATTTTAGCCTGAAAAATACGCTTCAATGTCCCTCATAGTGATAACAATAACAAATAAACAAAATTCTAAAAAGTAAAATCGTTTATTTCTTTTACTTAATTTGTATTTAATCATACAGAAGGATGAATTTCGTTATCCGACTCATTAAAATCGTAGTAAAGACCTGTGTAAAAAGTTAGGCTTCTCTTTTGAAATCAGCGCCTTACGCTATAAAATTCTCTTTCACAGATTTCTTACGACTGTGCCAGTTCTGTAGCGGAATTATTTCGTGTGCCCTATGTGGAGACTAGTGCTCTTACCGGATATAATGTAGAGCTGTTGTTCAGGAAGATAGCAAAAGAAATGTTGGTCAAAGAACTGGAAAGGCGAAGACGAAATAGAGTGCATGGAGAACGTGATCTGCAGGTGGATATTGTCGAGGAAAGGGTGGATAAGTATGTCATAAATCTTCAAACTACAGAAGAGCAGAAGACAGCTATTCCGAAGAAACGTCGACGATCGTGCAAATGTAGTTGAAGATTTGTCAATTGCTGTACAATACAGAGTATTTTATCTCTTTTGCGTCAATAAAGACTATATTTCTCAAAGATTTGATGGGATCCATTGGTTATTTTTATCGATTGTTTGTATTCGCTCCCTAATCCTGCCCGCAAGGCATTAAGGGACCTC